GGGGAGGGTAGGGTTTCCCCTGTACGAATGGGATAAGGTGGCGCGGCGGCGCCGGCCGGTCAACCTCGAGCACGGCGATCAAGACGGCGTCCGAACCGGCATGGAATGCCTGGAACCAACCCCCGCGAGGCACCGGAAACGTCCCCAACCGCAGCGCTGCTGGAGAGGGGATCGCCGGAGCTGCACCGCGGACATTCGACGCGATGGCAGCGAGGGCATCGGGCGCTACCGCCCCGATGTCCGCCCGGCGCGCCACACCCCACGCGCGTGCACGGGTACGCCGCCCACGATGCCCAGCATCGGGCCCCCGAACCAGAATCGAGGAAGGCAGGGTGGGGAAGAACGTACCTGAGCCACCGCCGCCGTTGCAGGGAGGTCAAGCTCCGGCCGTAGCCGCGAGCTGGACCCCGAATCGCCGCGCACCAGGGCGAAGATCAGCCGCCGTCGCACCGGCATCCTTGCGGTTCTCCTTCGCCCAATCAGCCCACCGATGGCCCGTCCGCGAGAGGGAACAGGGGAGGGCAAGGACGAGCGGCGGAGTAGGGGGGACGACGCCATGGCGGTGGACGCGTGCAGGAAGGGAACACCGGGAGGCACCGGCGAGGGGGGACGCGGGGAGGCGACCGGCCGAGGTGCGACTCCTCACCAGAGCACGCCATGGGGGGTCGAGTCTCGAAACTATTCAAAACCCACAATCTTCCCTTTCAAGCTGGATCAGACAATGTCGGTATGCGGGCGTTGTGTCCTTGACTCCTTGTTGAAGATGTTGGCTTGAAGCTTGTCTTCGGGAAGAAAATCCAATGTTCGACCTTTGGTAGGACTGGTCAACTTTGGCGCATGTACGACAATACTTTCTTTAAGGCTTTGTCTAGGAGTAGCATATTTCCATTTAATTTGGTCACATACATAGGTTTTGTGGAGATCCTGTAGCAAGTCAGATCCATTTTGGTTGGGCTCGCCTTTTTTTTAAAGCCGATTCATTCGGCATCGAGGCAAGGCTTCGGACCTTCGGTTGGCATTCTTAAATAATAAATAATATATGACTGTGTATCAATCAACACAGAGGCTAGGGGTGCTACCATCCTTTTCGAATCAGCTTGAGCTTTTGGGTGAGCTGGCCGGTGCATGCAATTCTACATGGTATTAGATTCTACATGGTATTAGAGCCAAGAGGTCCCGAGTTCAAGCCCCGGCTGGCAATTTAAATAAAAAGATTGCAGCCCACGTTTAGTCTATGTGTAGGCCCGAGGAAGCCACTTGTGAGGGAGAGTGTTGAAGTATTGCACACTTCTCCCCGTCAGCTGCAGGTCCTTGCTGTCCAATGTGAACCAACCACCAGTCAATAGCATTTGGTGCACATCCTTGGCAATGAGGGCATGTACGATGGTGCTGTCTTAGGAGTGCCATGTAGGATAAATAATGAGGTGGAAGAGAGAGAACTCGTAGGAAAAGGCTTGTCTTCTCATGATCTCTTAGCACAATATGTCTCACCACGTTTTTAGGAATAGCTAGTTATTGAAGATAAGGCTAAGATATGACCCATTGTAGACGTCTTTTTTTGTCATCTCTAAATTACATGCATGACTTAAAATAAGACTATCTTATCAACCGTTGTGCATGCCTTGAGACCGAAAACCAGATTATTATGCCTACCCAGTGTACTTCCCAAAAATAGCTTAGCCCGAGCCCTGAAGTGCTCCAGGTCTGAACTGAATTAGGACTGCCTCCAGTCCTCAGTTGAATTCATTCTAGCAAGAGCATGTACGATATCAAACTTTCTATGTGCTTGCTGCTCAGGGTAGGAAATTCGTTCAATCTTAAACAACTTTCATGCTGCCACTGCACATATTGTGCTAACACCATGCCTTGGCATCAAAATTCCAAGGATGACCTAACAGTCTAGCACGTGTTTGACTGATCAGCAGCAAGACCCGACCCCAAATAGGCACCCTTCAGGGAGCAGTGTTCTTGGAGGCTCTGGCTGTACATGTCCTCAAAGGGCCTTATGCTGAAAAGTGATGCATAATAATGACACCCCATCTCAGCAATAGTCTGTAAATATTTTTCAGCGCAATATATAGTCATATCAATTTGAAATCTTATAACAGTAGCATAACAGCAATTTATCTGATGGGTCATATGGTCGATGGAATCGTTGACCTTTTATCCTACCTTAACTATGATAAATTGATAATAAGAATGGTTGGATTTATGGTTAGTTTCATGCTGATTGTCCCTGATAAAACTGCCGATGCTGATCATTATTTCAGGTCATGTGGTACTTAATGCAACTGTGTCGAAATTAGCACTTGAATAGATTTGATCATTGATATCACATTTTTTCCCCACAGATATCATACTGGTTATTGGTGCCGTTGTGGCTGGATATCTCTTTTCTGTGGTACAGCACGGATTTGGTTCATCAACTTCTGAAAAGGTATCTTATCTAGTATATTGGGTTTCAGTTGTCCATGAAGTAGAATTTTTCACAGGGAATATGTAGTTTGGTGTTCTTGGATTTTTCTTTGATGTACTTTTAATTGTTAAATAGCAGAGCAGACTGAAACAGCAAATCTCTTAATTCGTTTTCTCAAATGAAACCGCTGCTTACTAAAGTAAAATTCGATGGCAATTCAGATAGAAGCATCTGAAGATGGTAAACAAGAGAGCAGCACTGCAGGAAAGCCACCTTTGGTTGTGGAGAGCCTTGAAGAGGAACCAAGTGCGGGATGGCCGTCTTTGGGGACACTTGTTGCTGATCTACTGAAGCTTGCTGTTGAAGGTGTGGAGAATCTTGTCCTCAACATTGCCCCGCTACGCATGCAACCTGTGAAGAGAAAAACAGGCCTCACTCCTCTCAAAGATAGGCCTGTGATGACCGAGGACAGGGAGGAGAACCCAGTAGCCCAGAAGCTCAGTAGCACCCCAATGATAACCGAGACGCGCCATGCTCCTAGTGCTGCTAACGAGACTCTGGCAAAGGCTCAGAAGAGCATCAAATCATCGAAATTCAGGGATTCTACTCTCTCAAGCAAGCACAGGTCCACCAAGAGACAGGAGTACGCTGAGTTCTACGGATCAACCGAGACACCTCAAGCAAGCGCAAAGGTCCCAAAAGACCGGCTCCGCCACCGTCATCGGGAGAAGAGTGGGGAGGTTACCTATGGGACTGGGCATCCAGAGCCTAAGCCCTCAGAGATGAAAGCGGCAGACTACAGCGATCCGAAGTATGATCACTACAACATGAGAAGCAAATATGGTGCTGACAGCGGCTTCAGGTACTGACTGATGGAAGGGCTCTCGTCATTGTGCCTACAGCCTTCTTACCGTCATGCCTAGGGTGTCTTTCGACGTCCCCAGTGTACTAAAAGCACAAGGATGCTGCTTATGGGTCACTGTCTCGCCCTACTCTCCGCCCGCAAGATGTGGCAGGTAAAGTCAGTCTAGCAATTTAGGTGGGGGTAGACGTACGTCGTAAGTAGGTAGTATGTATCGATTTCGGCAAGCCGGATGTAATTTTCGCAGATAGCAACTTGTAGTTGTAGCCAGTAAGAGCAACTCCAACCGGGCCACGCCCGACTATGCCCGTTTGTGTCTGCGCCGACAAAAACGATGGCCCAACAGGGAGACCCATTTTCACTATGAGATTTCGGCAAGCCGGATGTAATTTTCGCAGATAGCAACTTGTAGTTGTAGCCAGTAAGAGCAACTCCAACCGGGCCACGCCCGACTATGTCCGTTTGTGTCCGTGCAGGGAGACTCATTTTCATTTTGTGTCCGTGCGGACTCATTTTCGTCTCAAATTTAAGACATATTTGGATCCGAAGCAAATACAAAGCAGACGTTTTATATGTTCCTTTCGTCCACCTCTGTCCGTTGCCGGTCCTGTGTGGCCCACCTGCCATCCATTCACACAATTTTTTTTCTCTCTTCTTTCTCTCTCGCACCCTGCCATGACGCAGGAGTCGCCGCGCTCGCCCTGCTCGGACGCCGCCCTGCTGCCGCGCTTGCCCTGCCGTGAGCAATACGTGCATCCACGCGAGCGAGCTAGCTAGCTTCGCTGCATGGGTGTAGGCCCGTGCATGGCGCCCCACGCGAGCTAGCCAGCTAGCTTTGATGCACGGTGGGCGCCGGCTCGTGGCCGCGCTCGAGCCACTCGCATCGCCCTGCTCGGACGCCGCCGTGCTGCCGTGCTTGCCCTGCCGTGAGCAATACGAGCATCCACACGAGCGAGCTAGCTAACTTCGCTGCATGGGTGTCGGTCCGTGCATGGCGCCCCACGCGAGCTAGCCAGCTAGCTTTGATGCATGGTGAGCTAGCCAGCTAGCTTTGATGCATGGTGGGTGCCGGCTCGTGGCCGCGCTCGAGCCACTCGCATCGCATGCCTTTCCGCACTTCCGCCATGGCTCGGGAGCTCGCGTGCATACCTCGGCCACGTCGCCGCTCGCGTCCGACCCGGCCTCGCCCTGTCACGCAGCCGCAGGAGCTCGCCATGGCCTCGTCCCGCCATGCAGAGCGGCCGGCCCGTATGCAGCAGCAGGAGCTCACGCGCCCGTTTCAGCCTCGCCCCGCACGCAGCAGCAGGAGCTCGCGTGCCCGGCCATGCCCCGCCCCGCAGCAGGAGCTCGCCATGGCTCGGGAGCTCGCGCGCCCGGCACGGCCTCGCCCTGCCTGGCAGCATGAGAAGCTCGCGCTGCCGGCCCGGCCTCGCCCCGCATGCAGTAGCCGCTGGCCTCGCCCCGCGCCCGCCCGGTGCTGCTGCAGGCGGCCATGCTCGTCGTGCCTCGCCTCGCGCCACGCCCGGGTGGTGCTGATACAGCCGTCGGCCTCGCCTCGCACCCGCGCCGGTGCCCGGCCTCAAGAAATGCTTGTGCGGACATTCACAAAATGCGTCTGTCTTCTGTTGGGCACACCGATCGACCCAAACGAAAAAGCAAACAGGAACAGACGGACGAGCGACCCAAACGGATGAAAAGTGAACAAAATCGATGTCCGTTTGGGTCGACCCGTCGGAGTTGCTCTAAATTTGACCTGTTATTTCCTAGCATACATGTCGGTTGGTTGCTCGAGTCAACCATTTCTATTTCACAACAGGTGAGGATATGATGAGATATGAATCCTCTGCTGGGGAACACAAACTTCTCCTTTTTTCTGTTCCTGTTGGATATCAGAAACCGTTCATCCGGCGTGATTGGGAGAAATTATCTATCCTCCGTTACCATTGGGGTTTAAGCACATGATCAAATCGAATGCAGCTGCTCTTGGTTCTCACCGAGCTGCCATGGTCGGTCCTGGTCCAGCATTGCATAAGCAATGGTCCATTCTCGAAATTTTTTGTCATTTTGTGTTGGGTCTATCCCGGACCCTTCCCCCCATTGCTTAACTGGTTTTGAAAGGGGCATGGGTCTAATTAACCCCCAAACTACCAAGCATGCCAAACATAATGAAAGCTACATCATGGTCCCTTCCCAAACATAATAAAAGTTGCATCAATGTCCATGAACCACTGAATGATCACTACCCATCAGAATGAGCCACTGACGTGGTGTTGTCGCTGTTCTTTTACCGGAGATGTGCTTGCGCTGAACCCTTGAATTGATATGAAGCACCTAAAACCAAACTTGGCTATCGTGCATTGACAACGAGAAAACCTTACCTCGTCGCCTCCAAGAAGACGCGATGAATCTACACTGGTGCTCTGTCGTCTTTGTCATAAACTCAAGAAGAATCAGAGCCCGAAAGACCAACTCAAAGAACAAATGACACCATCTATCAGTGCTAAAATCAGCGGATCTCGGGTAGGGGGTCCCGAGCTAGTTCTAGGAACAATGGTAAGAGGGGACGAAGGGAGATAGTGTTAACCCAGTTCGGGCCCTCTTGAAGAGGTAAAACCCTACGTCCTGCTTTGATTATATTGATGTGATGAGTACAGAGTACAAGATGATCTACCTCGAGATCGTATGATTGTGTTCTAAACCCTAAGGCTGGGAATCGTGCCTCTAAAGACTAAACCCATTGGCTTGTATATGCACCTGGGGTACCTAGGTTACACACATGGTCGGTTGCCAACGCGCCGTCTATAGAGCAATCCTTGAAGTACACGCCAAGTCTTCGGAGGTTTCCATCTTGATTACGTCGAGGTTCATAGCTTCGGAGGTCCTTCCTTTTAGTGATTGGCGGGCCATGAGCCCGGCCCATGGACTGCAGGTAGTACAGGTTAGCACCCTTTAGTCCAGGACATCGTCAGTAGCCCCTGAACTGGTCTTCGAAGCCGAAGACAGCAGCTTCCTCCTCGGAATGGTTCCTTTAGTTGATGTCTTTGGCTTGGCAGGCAAGTTCCCCCTTTGTCAATGTGTGTTCAGATCCGAGGTAATTCAAATCATCCTTGGCTCCCAAGAGTCCGAGCATCCGCGTTGCTCAGACCAAGAAACCTTCTCCCTGAGCAATCCGAAGACTTGCATCTCGGATCTGTTTACGGGACCCATAGAACATGGTCCCAATTATTGCTTATAATTTTCTTGACTCTCGTGCAACTGGGGAACAAGCGTATTGATGGCTGGATATCGAAACGTCCCCCATCGCCTGATCTACCAGGGTATTTCACCATCTAGGGTTACAACAAATGTTTTACACCAACATTTCCTCATCTTGCTTCAATACGAAATCCTTCCCTCAGGCTAGCTGAAGAGCTTCCGCAATGGTAGGCGCCCCAGGTTCGTCGATGCATCCCCACGGTCCTCTCCTGGGTGAATGGGGAAGTAGCTCTATCACTCGTCTTCAATTAAATCGACTCGCGACTTAGGGCTATTTGCCTGATTCTGATCTTGCGCTTACACGCCCTGGTTTGACGTCCATAGATGG